CTGTTATTCTCACTTAAGATGAAGGCTTACAGGACAAAATAGTCTCTCAGTGCAGTTTTAAAGATGAATTTTGGAAATCATTTGGAAGGAAGAACAAATACTGGGAAGGGAAGACAAACTCTGTTGATAATGATGACATCAGAATCTCAACAGAATCAAGTGACTCTCCTGAAAGCCAGATAAAAGGAAAACAGAAAAGCAGAAGAGCCAAGGGCCCATCAGGCCTTCACGGAAAGGTACAACTTCCAACTGACAAAATACTGCTATTTTTTCTTTAAACGATGTGACACCAGCTAGAATAACTAGCAACACAGTTGTTCTGGGGTTGCAATGCTAGTCTGACCAATTATGAAATATGCAATGCCTAAATCTACTCTTTCACAGCTTCTATGTCTCTATTACTTTAAACAAATTTTCCTTATGTAAAATTACTCTATTTTATGAAAATCTACCATTTATATAAATAAACATTAGTTAACAAAAACAAAATACTAAGAATTATTCTAAGTGAAACATTTACATTTGCTGATTGAAATCCTTTACTTGCATTCCTAATAATAACAGCAGGACGAAAGCTAAAACTTTACCACTCCAATTACTTACTGCCAGTGGAGGGGGGAAAGAAAGAATTTCCCTTTAGATACAGATTACTTTGACAATCTAATTCTATGAAGTCAGCTAAATTACATTTAGAGTACTGATTAAATATAAGTTAGAAAATGTTAATTGAAGAAGAGCAAAGTAGTAACATCTGTATTGATAAAAGTAATTGGAAACAGGAAAAATGCAGGCGTACAAAGAATGTGGTATTCTACAGATAGGCTGAATAACATTTGGTAATTTACTGGTACTTAGCTTTTCATTATCCACAACCAGACAAACATACTTGACAGATAAAAACAAAGGCAGAAACTACCCTCCTTGCTCCCATCCTCACGGCTGGCAGGAAGGCATGTTTCCTTGGGGTGGGAGAAGCAGAGTGATCATCTCCAGGCCTGATGGAGTAATTCATGCTTCCTTTTTTCCTGGGTTCCTTTTCCTCAAACTTCTGTCTGCTTTGGAGCAGCATTTGGGTGAGGGTCTAGAGTCACACAGCTTGCTTTGGTTAAAGCTACTTGGGTCGCCCCTTACAACAACCCTAAAGGGCTGTCCCGGCTTGAGAGTGCCCTGTAGGTTTGCTGAGGTTTTCTGTAATGACTAGTCATGGCAATACAGATCCTCTGGGAGGTCTAGTCTAGTCTACCAGAAGAGCTAACTACCATAGGTTCAGGCAAAAATCTGTCAATAACAGAGTGTATTCCTTTGCCAAGAGATGGATGAGGCTGGAGGTGGCTATTGACACCAAAGGTGGCTGGCTGTAATAGGAAAATCTAGGTGCCAACCAACTTTCCATCTGAACCAAAATCATGATTTAATAAGTGCCACCAAACACAGCATGACAGCTGTTCACTATTCAGGGAGTCAGAGCTGAGGTTGTTCATTCAACCAGTATTTACTGAGGGTCTACCAAGTGTCTGTTAAGCACTTGGCTGCTGACAGAAAGGTTGGTGGTTGGAACCCTCCCAGCAGCTCCATGGGAGAAAGATCAGGCAATCTGCTCCTGTAAAGATTACAGCCTAGAAAACCCTATGGGGCAGTTCTGCTCTGTCACATAAGGTCACTATGAGTTGAAAATCATCTTGATGGCACCCAACAACATCAACAACCAAAAGTCTGCTACTGAACTAGGTTCTAGAACACATAGATCAATATAACAGAGCCCTCAAGAGCTCATCCCCAAATGAGACAGATAGACAGACACACACACACACAAATAAAGCGATATTGTCCAATGATAAGAGCAAGAAGTACAAAGTATGATGGAAATACCAGAGAGGAAAAGCTAACAGGGAGGGAGCTGGGAGCAAGAGTGAGATCTGAGAAGGATTTTGGGGAGAGATGGTCCCCAATTGATTATTTTTTTTTAAGTGTGCTTTAGGTGAAAGTTTACAGCCCAAGTTAATTTCTCATTCAAAAATTTATACTCATTTTTTTTTTGTGATACTGGTTGTAATCCCCACAGTGTGACAACACACTCCTCTTTCCACCCTGGGTTCTGTTTCCATTCGTCCAGTTCCTGTCCCTTCCTGCCTTCTTGTCTTGCCTTTGGACGGTCACTGCCCGTTTGCTCTCATATATTTGATTGAACTAAGAAGCACATTCCTCATATGTGTTATTTTTTATTTTATATGCCTAATTTTTGTCTGAAAAGTGGGCTTCAGGAACGGTTTCAGTCTGGGTTACCAGAGTGTCCGGGGACCATAGTTTCAGGAGTTCCTCCAGTCTCTGTCAAACCAGTAAGTCTGGTATTTTTTTGTAGATCTGAATTCTGTTTTACATTTTTCTTCCACTCTGCCCAGGACTCTTTGTTGTAATCCCTGTCAGAGCTGTTGGTGGCGACAGCCAGGCACCATCTAGTTATTCTGGTCTCATACTGGTGGGGTCTCTGGTTCATGTGGTCCTTTAGTCCTCTGGGCTAATACATTCCTTGTGTCTTTGGTTTTCTTCATTCGCCAGTGCTCTGGATGGGATGGGACCAACAGATGTAACTTAGATGGCCGCTTGCAAGCATTTAAGACCCCAGACACTACTCACCAAAGTGGGATATAGAACATATTCTTTTATAAACTATGTTTTGCCAATTGACCTAGATGTCCCCTGAGACTATGGTCCCCAGCTACTAGGCCCCTCAAAGTGTCTGGATATGTCTAGGAAACTTC